TGTTTTTAAATCACTGCCCCCAAAGTAACAGAAGTGATTCTAATTACATGCCAACTATGTGGGTTTAATGCTACTTTTTCAGTTTTTATGTGGATTAGAAATATAATCAACCTTATCTCAAAATTCTCAACCAGCTGCAATATAACCATGTCAGCTTCTTTTCACTTCTTTATAATGCCCTGTGCACTGATTTTTGTATTACTTCAATTGTCATGTTGCCAGCAGTACTGTCTAAATGACTTGATATAGAAAGTTGCCCATGTTTTACTACAGACTGTGCTTCTACAGACTGGTACAACTAAAGCAGCAACCAGTCCTCCTGGAGCAGGGAGTACTAAGCCTTTCATGCAGCTGCAAAATGTGGAGAATGACTGAACTTGCATGAAATGTAGCATTATTACATCTTTTGTATTCATTTGGCATTTCAGTTATTCTGATATTTCCAGTTATTCAGAATACCACCTGCCCCTTTCTCAGTTAGATGGGAGGTGTTGGTAGAATATCACAAGTAGGAAAACAGCATATCTGTGACTCTGTGTGTTGGCTCCGTAATAAACATCATCAGCAAGGCTTATTCCTAAAACTATTTCTGTGTACTTTTTGTAAGAGATGCTAACGGCTGGGCTGATTAATTCTGCTACTATCTATGAGGATGACTATGAAGTCACTATTACATTGAATTACGCCCTTGCTATTAACAAGGTCAGTTCGGGGGATGAGGCCCGTTATTAGGCAGCTGGTCTAAAGCTCTCACTAGACCAGTCAGTATAATGCTGATATATTTTAAATTCAGGTCTAAACAAGAAATTCTTCTGTTCAGAGGGTGTTAACTCATCACTTCAGAGAAAGGAATCTTTTTCTTTTTCTGTTGGAGCTAGCTGAACAGGTATTTTCATCTGATTAAGCCAGATTTCATGGTTATGTTGCTATCATCTTGCATTTCATTAGTTTGCTATTAATTAACTTTCTTCTTTCAGCTGATGTTTTTCGATGATTCTAGCACCCCTTAGCTCTTGATCTTAGAGCCTCCTTTTCTTCAGTCTGCAAATTGTGCTCTTAAGAAACAAGCTTAGTAATTTTCAATAGTTTGGAAATAATGTTTGCCAGAGCTCCTGTTAACCATATTCATACTTGAAATCCCTACCTCCAGAATTACCATGTTCCAAAAACCACCCATGTATTCATTTCCAGCTTTTCAAAGATGAAAATCTACCATTTCAAAGATCCAAAATTCAGACTGTATCTCTTGTGTAGAATCTTAACAAGCTTACCTTGCCATGTGGTGCCTGAAAATGTGTATCACGGTTATTTCACAAGTGAGGAGTTAATCAGATCTCTCAAGTGGTAGAAACACCTTCATTTGGATGAGAAATTTCATTTCATTAAGTGAGGTTGTGACAATTTTTTTCCTAAATCAAAACAAATACCTAAACAAGGTTTTAAAAAAAAATGCCACATTATTTTGCATCAAAAGAGTTCAATTACATATAATAATTTGTCTTCTAATTTGAGACTGCTATTAAAAGCCTATAGTAGCACCACTGTTTTGTGCTACTAAGGTTATAACAGCATTACAAGATAATCTTATTAACTGCCTGCATTTGATAATTCTACAGGATATCCATACTAATAAACCGGTAGAGTTCAGCAGTCATTACCCGAATACTGTAACAGAAGTTAGAGATGGACAAGACGGCATTCAGACTAGTTTCGGTGAGATATCTTTTTTTTTTTTTCCTCCCTGTCTTTACAACAGACCATAAATACAGAGGTTGAGAATACAGAAGTAGTGCTTGGAAGGTTAGACACTGAGAGAGGCAAACTAACGTATTGGCACATTCTGCACCTACTTAAGTTGATCTTTAAGTCTCAGAATGTGGCTGAGTTGAGATTTAAGCAATGTTACAGACTCTGTCAAAAACTCATGGGAATGCTTCATCCCTAGAGGACAGTTGAAGAGGCCAGTAAACTGCAGCCACAGCTCATAGCAGTGCTTTTATTATAGTGATAAAACTTCAGATGCTTTCCAGGTTCTTTTACAATTGGAGTCATGTCAATATTATCTTGACTTTTGAGCTGTCCAGGGACTTCAGCTTTGGCACATTTGGCAAATATAAGAAATTATGAAATACATTAATTCTAGACCTAGTTTTCAGAGGTCGCAGAATCAAAGAATGTTAGGAGTTGGAAGGGACC